CCCCCCCCCCTTCAGGCGACGAAACCGCCTCTTCCTACCACGGCAAGACCTTCCTTCAACGATGCCTGCAGCCCTCGTAATATATTATAACGCAGACGCCTTAGCAGCCTCGCCGACTATAGGCCCGCTTGGCTAGTTTATAGGTACCACCTTGGCTTGCACGCTATTCCGCCTGGCCGAGATTGTGCAAGCAAAATGCATTACGGACGAATACCAGCCGACTACCGACCGCAAACCAATAGCATTATAAACGTAAACGTAAACGTAACGAACCGTTAGATTTATACTGCGTCCAGGCCTCCACGTTCACCACCTTTCATATCGCGTCGTTTCATTGCACGAACAATTTGAGAAATTGTAAAGTAGCGTTTATTGTCCGCTATTAACTGTTCGCAGTGTCGTTGAATGTTAGAGAAGGATTTCAACCCCTTGACTTAATTCAACCTAGACGGTGAGCAGTGAACAAGTCACTGATATTCAAAGATTTTCCAACCATTAACTGGAAATGTCAAATGTGTGTTTTTTTTTGGAAATACATATCCGTGTACTCGATCGAAATTAAGTAAGAGTAAATAAGTACATTTGAATTTAATTATAATGAAATGGTAAATATTATGAAATATATCCTTTTACACGACGAGAATATTTGTCATTGTCCAAAAACTGATCATTTCTTTGCCCAAATTTGTAGAATCTCCATTGGATATCATTCTTCTTTTTTTTTTCTTTCTTTTTTTCTTTTTAAGCAAACACGTTCGAGAGTTTACACTCTGTTGTCAATTTTTACTTTTTCTTTCTAAAAGAATTCCTGAATATTATTGAAACGCGTATATAAATATAAACAAAAATAGATTTTTTGTAAAAATACTATCGAGAAATATTAGAGAATATCTAAAAATATCTTTTCAAATATATTTTTCTATGTAGATAGCTTGGCATGTAGACTTTTGTGACCGTCTGTGCATGCAAAAGACTGGTGGAAATAATAAAAAAAAATTATTTAAAAAAGCTCATCTTAACAGTAGCTTATCCCTAAAATCGCAATCGTGCTTATTTTCTACTAAAACCACAGTTTTCTTTTTTTCTACAAAAACTTTATGTTTACACGATTCAAGGTACCAGAGGACATATGTATCAATTAAACCACTTTTTTCGAAATTTATATCACCCGATTTCGAATGTTACATTTATCACGTTACCCACTCTGTACAAGTACTATATCGTTTCGTGCAATTCGTTCAAACGTTATCGATTACACTTG